GCCCCCCAGAGTCTCATTCTTAGCCACTATGTTATGCTTTGCTTCTACTCTTAACTTGGATCCTTCTTGGGGACAAATACTCCCCACCATGTATTTCTCTTTCCTTTCGGAGCCTAACTGAAAAAAAAAAAAAAAGATGGAGATGTGTGTCAGGGACCTACAGAGAAAGGGGCCCCCAGGGCCACGATGTGCCTTCCATGGTGGGGGAGGTGTCTGACCATAAGGGTGAGGTCGGGGATTGTTCTGAATCGTTTTCAGGACTCTGAGAATTTCTTTCTGAAACTGAGCAATAACTTCAGGCCCTTCCATAGATATTCCGGGCATAACTAAGTCTCGATGTCAAAAACAAGGCAGGCTGGGGCCCAAATGTCTGCCGTGACTCTGGGCAGAGGTATCTGCCCACACAACCTCTGGGCACAGAGGGCAACTGCTCAGTTGGCCTCATGTGCGCTCTGGGTGTAGAGACCCACGTTCCTAAACCCAAAGTGTCTTGTCTAGGACAAGTGTCTGAAATGTGCCTGCACCATCAGTGTGAGTACAGGGGGTCCAGGATTCTTGGTTTCTCCCCAAATGCCCCTTCCATGGCACTTTCCACACTGAGTTAAAATTGTTATAAATGCTTGTCTGGTTCTTTCATCTCTGCTCTGGGGCAACTCCCATGTTGCAAAGTGCTCGGTAAGTCCGGTAAGTCCGGAGTCAACGACTGAATGCAGGAGCGTAACCTCAAAGACGTGGGGGAGTTGCCTTTTTCAGAGGTTGCGCCGATCCCGCACTCCGGGGTACTTTCCTCCCCTGCCCTCCCTTAGAAGGACCAGGCTGCCGGCCCGAGGAGCCTCGCCCCCTCTGGCAGCCCAGCCCCTCCTTTACCTCCTGTTCCTCTATCCACAGGACAGGCCGTGGGGGACCAGGACCCAGCTGTTGCCTGGCCTGGATCCGCCAACTCCGACCTAGGAGGGGAGACCCGGCTTCAGGAGAAGCTTCCACATGGGGGCGCTGAAGGGGCGCTGGAAAGCCCGAAGCAGAGTCCCTGCGGCGTCATCCGGGGCGGTGGACCCCCCCGCGGGTTCCACCCCCTCCCCACAAGTGTCCCCACGGGGCGGCCGCGACCCCTGCCCGGAGCCCCCTCCCCGCAGCCTCCCCTTCCCGGCCCCGCCCGGCCGGCGTCTCAGCCCAGGTGGGAGAGCGCGCGGCCACAGACCCACCGAGTTCGAATCCCGGCCCTGCCACTCCGCCGCAGGGCGGCCTTAGCCAGGGCGCTTGGCCTCGCGGAGCCCCATCCTCCCTCCTGCCGGGGACCGAGTGGGCGCTCGGGAAACATCAGCTTCCTGCCCGCCGCCCGCCCTCCTCTCGTGTTCTCGTGTTTCCCTCCTCGCTGTTCGCCCTCAGCTTTAAAAAAAACTCCCTCCCTCCCGCGCCCTTTCTCTTCTCGGCTCCCGCGGTCTTCGCCAAACCGCAGCCTTTAGCAATCCTGCGCGCCCACCCGGCGCCCCGGGAGCCTCGCCGCGGCCGCGACCCACCCCGCGGGCCACACGGCCCCCGGCGCCCGCCCCGGCCCAGCGCGCCCGGCTCCGCACCCGCCTCCACGCAGCCCTCCGGGGTCGCGCCCGGCTCCGCGCCCCAGCCCTCCCGCCGCCGGGGCCGCGAGGACGGGGCCGTGCCCGGGTGGCCGAGGGCACCGGGCGGGGCGGCGGGGCGGCGGGGCGGCTGGCCGGGCGGCCGGGGCAGCGAGCGCCAGCCCCGAGACCGCAGCCCGAAGGCAGCGCTGCAAATAGCCGCGGTTTGCAGCCCGTGCCCTGCCTTCCTCCCGGCCTTCCGGACCTTTGGGATTTTCTCTCCTGTCTTCCCGCCGCCCTCTCCTCTGCCCCGTGGCCCCTGCCTCCTCCCCGCTGTGCGCCCACCACATCCTGTCCCACGCGGGGCGGCTTCTGCGCGGGGCGGGGGGGGGAGCGGGAGTCCACGTCGAGTCCAGGGTTCCAGAGGTCGAATAATCACAGAAAACAAGTGAGGATTTATTGAGCGCCTACCACGTGCCAGGCCCTGTGCAGAGAGCTCCTTAAAACTGGGGTAATTATGAAATCTTTACCACCATCCAATGAGCAGCAGCTCCGATTTGCAGATGGAGAAACTGAGGCCCAGGGATACTTCTTAAGTCCTAAGGTCAGCCCGTTTGGACTTGCAAAATGGGAAGCCATCGCCTCCCCCCCCCCCCCCCAGGTCCATGCTGTCACTTCGCCTCCAGCTCTGTGTTGCTTGCCCTTAGAGGCTGAGGCCCTGGTGGGAGGTGGGAAGCAGCTGGCTGGGGTCTGGGATGCTAGTCTGCCACCAATTCTTACGGTCACCTAGAACAAGCCCAACCTGCCTCAGTTTCCACATCTGTAAAATGAAGGAGATGAAAAGCGAAACTCTGTTCCCTGGAAAGAAGAGCTTGTGAACAACAATGGAAAACCCAAAGTGGAATGCCCTGCCCTTGGGGAAGTTCAGTGGGAGGCCGAATGACAATCACCTGGAGTGTGGAGACAGACCCAGAGACCAGGGCTGGCAGGGCCAGAAGAGGGCAGAGCTGGGGGATCTGCATGTTATCGCATGCAGGGGTTCCAAAGCCATCAGGTTTGGGATCCACCAAAGAGATTGCTGGGCGGGGGTGGGGAATGGAGGGGGTGTGTTGGGGGTGTCCTCCCCCAAACCTCCATGCTTGCCCTATTCCCTCTCTGCCTTCACTGGCCTGGACTCAGAGTGACTGCCCATTTGTTAAGGACCCACTGTGCACCAAGCACACTTGTATCACAACCCCACTCTCAGATAGCTGAGGCCTACTGCAGCAGACCAGCAAGGCTGTCCTCAGCCCAGCCCTCCCCTCTGGGAGAAAGGGAACAAAGCACCTCCCTCCGGGGGAGCAAACCCTCACACCAGGTTGTGAGGCTCAGTGAACAGAGCGAGGGCTGGGTTTCCCATCCACTCTCCCTCTCGGCTGCCACTCCCACACTTCCCCTGAGCTCAGCTACAAGGGATGTAAGTGGGAGATACTGGGAAAGCCCAGGAAGAGGGCCAAACAATTCCAACTCCTTGCCGGAGTCAGGAATAGGCACAGAAAAACTCTACTGTGGAGGTGACCATGAAGCGGGCCCTTTAAGGATGGGTGGGAATACACCAGGTGGAAAAGGAGGTCCAGGCAGAGGCAACAAGCCAGGGTCAGGGCATGGGGCAAGGAGTCTGAGCCGGTCCTGGAAGCAGGTGGTGCGGTGTGTCTGGGACCAGGGAATGGCTTTGGGGCAGATGGGGAGGGGGCATGTCCTTCTCATGCTCCCATCTCTATGCCGGCACATTCCAAACTGAACATAGCTTCCCTGCCAGCCAGAGGTCTCTCCTGGACTGGGAGATGTTGGATGACAGGCTCGGCGTCTTATTCATCCTCTAGTGGCCCAGTGCTTCACCCGGACCATAATAGTAACAGTAATAACAGTTAACGGTGTGAGATATTTACCACCTCGCTCTGTGCTAAGTGCAGTACACGCATGATCTCATTTCATCCTCCAACAACTTTGGAAATAAGTGGTGTTGTTAATCTCATTTTACAGATGAGGATTCCAAGGTTTTGTGGGGTTAGGCAATGTGCCAAGGTCACACAGCTATTTAGTGGTGGAGCTAGGATTGGAATTCAGGTCTCTGACCACAGGGCCCTTGTTCTACACTGACAGATGGACAGATGGATGGATGGTTGGAAGGATGGATGGATGGATGGATGGATGGATGGGAGACAGGGAGGAACTAAGTGGAGAAGGGCCTTGAATGCCATGCTAGGGAGCCCGAACATTATGCCAAGGGCCATGAGAACACATTGGAAGGCTGTAATCTGGGAAAGACTTGTCAGGTTAGGGCTCTAGAAAGATCACTTTGACAGCAGTGGGAAGTAGTTTCGAGCTGATGACACTTGAGCAGGAGGCCATTTTTCTGGTAAATCCCAATTCTTCCCTCTGAGAAGCTTTATTCCTTTAAGTGCTATGTTATTTCTCTTAGGGCAAGATGTGCATTTCTGTATATACATGGGGACCTTAGATGGAGGGGAACCTCAGGAAGGGGGGGCGCAGTGATGGGGAGACAAGTGGTCAAGCACTGAGTTCTGGAGAAGAGGCCTCTCTTACAGGGGAGCAGAGCACCGGGAAGAGAGGAGCCACACACTCTCCCTTCCCATGTTCAGGATGACAAGGCCCCCTCGGGCTTCCCGCCAGGCCCCCACACAGTGCCCCATTGTGCACCTGCCATCGAGGGAATGCAGCCAAAAGGTGAGGCCTGTGTTGCATCAGAGTGCTAAGCCCGGGGATCAAGTGCTGGGATGGCAGTGGAAGAGGTCTGGTCCCTCCTCTGGTATCATTGGCCTTTCCAGCCAGCCAAAGAGGGAGGGCAGGGAGTCACAGGAAGTGGCCCCAGGGGCCAGATAAGCCGAAGAAGGAAAAGCAGGGTAGCTGGAAGGACAGCGAATAGGTGGAGCTTTCCCCCCACCCCCACCGCCCAAACACACATGAAAGGAGCCAGAGAGAGGCCCCAGGCGTGTTGGAGACAGCATCTTCAGGCTGCGAGGGGCCCCCAGAAGGTTCCAGGACAGAGCAGTACTCGCGATGCTGCCCTGCCTCCCCCTGCTTCTCCTGATGGGGCTGTCTGCCGGCACTGTGACAGCTGATGAGGGACTGGCACTCAGAGCAGAAGCAGAGTCCTGGATAACCTTGACCCTGGAGGTACCGTGGGGTGAGGCATGGGTTGGTCTGCTGTGGAGTGGGTGGGAGAGCCCTTCCACGGCTGCCCGGACAGAAGGTTGTACATTGTTAGCCATGCTGTCTGACTCCCCTCTGCAGGTAGGTTCAAGGCCATGGCCCCTGGCCTGGCAGACATCCAAAGGGGCACGCGTATATGGGAGCAAGGGTGTGTGTGCGTATGTGTGTGTGAGTGTGAGTTTGTGTTTTATTTCACATATACTACGTTCCTGGTACTGTCCTAAGTGCTTCATAAATATTAACCAGTTTAATCCTCATATCAACCTTGTGGGGAAAGTACCATTACTATCACCATTTCACAGATGAGGAAACCGGGGCACAGAAAGGTCAAAGTTAGTCCAAGGTGATGCAGCTTCAAAAGCATGACTGCACATTTGTCCGAGGTCAGATTGGGTGTGTCTATGTGTCAGAGGACGTTTTCCAGAATTTCCTTTCAAGGGGGTTGGCCAGGGGCGCCTGGATGGCTCAGTCGTTAAGCATCTGCCCTTGGCTCAGGTCATGATCCCAGGGTCCTGGGATCGAGCCCCACATCAGGCTCCCTGCTCGGCGGGAAGCCGGCTTCTCCCTCTCCCACTCCCCCTGCTTGTGTTCCCTCTCTCACTATCTCTCTCTCTGTCAAATAAATAAATAAAATCTTAAAAAAGAAAGAAAGAAAGAAAGAAAGAAACTCTTATTTCCTGATAAGTACTTGGTTTGATGACCACTGTCTTCAACTAAACTGACCTGAATGCTGTCACGGGAGAGATCTAAAAATTAGGCACAGAGCATCGGTGCCGCACTCCATCTGATTGGGAAGACAAAGATCCTGACCTTGGGCAGCTCCGAATCAGACAGGGGAGCGAGGCCAACAGACCACATAGGACCAGTGCTGAGTGAAGGCTTTCAGGAGGGCAGATGGGGCACAGCTGAGCCTGGTTCTCCCAGTCCTGGGATAATCCAGTTGGGACCCTGGGACCACTGGAAGAGCCACAGAAGGAACTGCCATTGGTGGCGGGTTTCCTTCCTGCTTTGTCTGAATGTGGAAACGTGTGCAGTGGAGAAGACCACAGGGCTGACCGACCTGGGTTCAAGTCCCAGCTTCTCCACAGACTCTGTGAGACCTTGGGAAGGTCACTGCTGCTCTCTGGCCACCTGTAAAATGGGAGGAGAGGGAAGATGGTCCCCAAGGGTCTTCTCACGCTTTGACATGCTTTGCAGAGTCTGTGCCAAACATCATGGGACCTGGCCCAGGCCCAGGGAAGCCGGGCTGGTGACGGGAAGCTCTCTACACAGCCACGCGAGAAACATCATCATCCACTTTCCCGGGTGCTGCTGGGCTTCCCACCCGTGAGCGCCTCCCCCTGCAGTGGGGTCTCATGCTTATTCTGTTTCCCGAGACATGGGGCTGGGAGTAGAGGAACCATTCACAGAAAAGGAGTGAGGTGATGGAAAGAAGGAACGAGGCAGTGCCAGGATGACCTAATCACCTCCCCAGCCCTGAGGGCTTCCCCACCTGTGGTCATCCCTGGAGCTAGGAATTTGGGTTAAATGCATAAGGAAGGCTTCAGGTGGAGGAGGAGTCTTTCCTGAGTCAAAGGGATCCAGTGTCCAGAAACCCCGCGGACGGTGGGAGAGAGGTAAGCCTTACTTAACTCATAAGTAGTCATTCTCTCCAGCTTGCATTTGAAGGCTGCCTTTTACCCAGGCAAAGTGCTTTTCATGAGTTTTCAGCAATGGGTCCAAATCTCCGAAGAGACTTTTCTGGTTCCTGGCCGGGCTAGGTGACTCCAGCCTAAGACAGTTACCCCAGCGCTTGACATCCTGGGGAGGAGACAGACTGGAAGTGACTGAATCAGTCCAGGGTTTAGAAAACAATCCACTCCTGGTCCTGAAAGTCAGGACCAGATGAGCTGTGAGAGAAGAGGGGTGTCCACTGCACCCCAGCCAGGTCCCTGCTTGTCCCAGGAGCTCCAGTGTCGCCCCTAGGGAAGCAGGGGACCAAAGAGCCAACCCCCGATCCAAGCCCAGCTCCCATCCTCTTGGCAGGTGGCCTGTGTTACTCTAGGGCTCAGCTGCCTGTCTCCAGCCTTTCTGGAAAAGGAGACCCCGTCCTCCCCCCTCTCTCCAGACTGCCAGAGAAAGGGCCCCTCTTCAGCTTTCTGTGTCCCTCACACACTGTGTTCTAGGCTCTGTGCCAGAGCCTAGATGTGCCAGATGTGGAGCCAGAGCCTAGATGTGCCAGATGTGGAGATGGTCTAACGACTGTCACCCTCTCCACTAGCAAGCATCTCTTCCTCTCAGCAGAGCTGAGCAAGCCCTTTGGGGGCTCAGGTTAAGGCCAGAAAATGAGGCGACTTTTTGGCCAACATCACAAAGCCTGATAGAAAAATGAGAAGTACAATCCAGAGCTCTTGGCCCAGACTTTCACCCCATCAGCTCAAGGATGAAAATGTCTTTGCCCAGAGAAGTGGCCTCCACCCCAGGCCACATGCCATGCTCCACATGGGAGGCCCAGGCTGTGCGGTAGGGTAGATCCGGGGCAATGTGGGGAGTTTTGGGGGGGAAGAAGGGACAGCAGTGGCAAGAGTGGGGGCTCCAGGGAAGCACTCCCGCCCTGCCTATGGGGTGCCCACCGTGAGTTCCTCAGCTGCCCGCTCCTGTCCATGTTGGAGACGTTTTCTAAATGGAACAGAACCCATGCTCTGGAGTTAGACTCCTTGGGTTCAAATCCTGCCTCTGCCACTTCCTGTGTGACCTTGGACAAGTCACTCACCCTCCATGAGTCTCAGTTACCTCATCCATAGAGTGGGGATAAATCATAGTCACTTCCTACAGCGGATGCAAAGAGTAAGTGAGATTTTGGCTGCAGTGTTTGAGCCTTTGAGCCAGGTGACCTGGGTTCAAGTTCCGGCTCCATCTCTTACATCCTAGCTGGTGAGCCTGGGCAAACTAATGTCTCTGTGCCTCAGTATCTTCATCTGTAAAATGATGACCGTACCGGTTCTCACTTGGTGTGGCTTCAGTGAGGATTAAATGAGTTAATACACAAAAGTGCTGAGCACAGAGCCAGGAACTCAGTAGGCAGAACATTAGCTATGAATGATTGTGTCTAGGCACTGTGTTGTGTAAAGAATGCACCAGGGCTGCATGCCGGCACAGAGCCAAGTGGCATGATGCTGGTGTCGCTCAGGCTGCCTGCCCTGTCCCATCTCCAGCCTCAGCCTCCCCTGCAGCTCTAACAATGAACTCTCTGCTTCTCCAGGATGGTGGCATTCACTTCCAGCTCCAGGAGGTGAAGAGGGGCAAAGCAAGCCAGTTCTTTGGGCTGATGGGGAAGCAGTTGAGAGGTGAGTGACAAAGGTGGATGCTGTCCAGCAAGGAGTGGTCCTGAGCGGGTTCAGTGACACCAAGCAGAGGCCCAGCTTCAAGCCCAGGCTCCCAGGGACTGGTAGGGGTCACCTGTGCCATAGAGTGTCCATAGGAATGACTGTCAAACCCCAACACTTTGGAGAGTTCATTATGCCAGGCTACAGGCGTTAAACTCGGGGCTGGCTCGGGCATGTGGGGGTGCAGTCACCCCAAGCTTGAGGGCAATGCCTCCCGCCCTGCTGGTGCCCTTGCCATCCATACTAGGGATGACTCCGGAGACAGGTGGTGAAGTTGGGCTTCAGCCTCTAGATGGGAGCCAAGCCACGGGCCAAGCTTTCTAGTTGATTCTGTTTGGCTCAGATAGAATTATTAAAATGAATCCATGTTCCCTGAGGGTAGTCTTAATGCAGGAGTCATGTCCTAGGAGCACAAGGAGCAAGTAGTCTGGACAGAGGGTAGTATTCTCCTTTTCATTGTCAACATTATATCTCTCTATATCTATCTACACATTTAAGTGGTTTCGGTGAGGGTCTGAGGAAACTGGCACTTGTATACCCTGTGAAGGACATGTTAGCATTCTCCATCAAAGTTGAAAGTACGCATACCTTTTACCAATAGTCTCACTTCAGAACATGTACTAAATAGAAATGCTATTGATGCATGAGCCTTGAGATACCTGTATCAGAGTATTTATTGCCAACTTGTTTGTAATAGGAAGAACTGGAAATAACATAAAAACCATCAGTAGGGGGCGCCTGGGTGGCTCAGTCATTAAGCGTCTGCCTTTGGCTCAGGTCATGGTCCCAGGGTCCTGGGATCGAGCCCCACATCGGGCTCCCTGCTCCGCGGGAAGCCTGCTTCTCCCTCCCCCACCCCCCTGCTTGTGTTCCCTCTTTCGCTGTGTCTCTCTCTGTCAAATAAATAAATAAAATCTTAAAAAAACAAAACAAAACAAATCCAACACCCCATGAGGAGCAGGGGATGGGGAGAGAAGAAAGAGATTTATTGAACACCTAGAATGCTCACATATGATGACATCTCACAACAACGTCCCCTTTATCACCAGTGGGAAAACTAAGGTTCAGACAGGTTAAAAACTTTTCCAAGGATGCTCAAGTGGTGCCAGGCACCAGTGACTCCTAAGGCCGTGCCCTTCCCAGTAGTCCACACTGCCTCCTCCCTTGAGCAGCCAAGTGGCCCGGCCATACGAGGACAATGGGAAGGGACTGGAATTCTGCTGACTACCCACCAAAGGCACTGAACCCCAAAGAGCCATGAGCCCTTCCCGTCTCACCAAACCCCAGGGGGAAGCAGTGCAGCCCTCATTCCTTCTTTCTCTTTCCCCCCAGGAATACCTCCTATCCAGCCAGACAGAAGAACAGGTAAAGCCTTGTCCACACCTTCCCGCTCAGCATGCTCCCTGGGGAGGGCTGAGTTGGCCTGGCCGCTAAGAAGTCAGGGGGGTGGGGGAGATGCTCTGGCCGGGGGCACGCCAGGCTGGCCTTAGAGGGGGTGGGGCCAGCATGGTTTGGCCACATGCTAGGTTTCCTGGTTGTCTCCTCAGAGGGGTGGTCTGGGCACATGGGGGGAGTAGTTGCAGGGATAAGGAGGAGACCGGATGAATCTAGTTCTGCTAAAGGTTCAAAATTACTTTGGGTCTAAAGCCTGGGATTGGAAAGAACTAACCAATCCATTCCCCACGCTGCACCTAGAAGGATCTGAAAAGTGCAAATATGAGCAGCCAGTACCCTGCCCAAAATCCTTGGTAAAAAGGGCAAAAAAAAAACAACCACCAGAAAACCAACCAGCCCTTACCCACCACACCCTCAGTACTCTCTCAGGATCAAGTCCAATGCTCTGACACCTCACCACATCCTCTGGGGCTGCTCTCACTGACTTGACTCCAGGCCCCACCTCTCCTTCCCCGACTGCCTGCCCTACCCAGACGGAGCTGGTCTCCGTGGCCTGGGTGCCATGCTGTCCTTGGCACCCTGCCCTGCCCTGCACTGCCGGGTCACATGGCCGCTGTCCCCAGAGCAGAACCCCTCCCACCACGGGCAGCAGCAGGTGGGCCACCTCCTCTGTACCCACAACACGAGCGGTTTCTGTCTATGAGAGGTACCTACTAGGTATCTGTGGAAGGGAGGGTAAAGGGAGGGAGAATGAAGGAGAGAGAGGTGGGAATCAATGAATGAATCAGTAAATGAACAAACCAATCCACGGTTTCTCTTCAACTCCCAGGATGCTTGAGGAATGACTGCACTTACGAGGCCCCAGCTCTGGCTCTGGCCCTGCCCTGCCCTTTTTGGGTCCCAGGACAGCCTTACTCTGCTGCCTTCTTTCTTCTCCATCTCTTCTAGCTCCACCACCAGAGCATCTGCAAGGACAAATGGTGCAGGGCCTCCTGGGCAGGGCGGTACCATCTACAGAAGGTAGGTGAGAGCCTCTGGTGGATTGCAAGGGCATCATGAGAAAGCGACCAGATGCCTTGCTGCCAGTCTCCACGGGGGGGGGGCCAGGCAGACGGACAGACGGAGCAGGCTGCCCACAAGCCACTGGGCAGATGTCCCATAGAAGAGAGCAGCTGAGGCCTAGGGAGGTGGTCCCTTTGATGATCCAGGCTCGAGACAGCCAGAGTCCGGAAGCTGTACCCTCTCCACCCCCAGCACACCCAAGCACACTCTACACCCCGCCTTCTCAGGACCAGCTGAAGCCACAGAGAATCATGTGTGTTTTTTTCAGACCCTGGAACATCCCCCTTATTCCCACAGTGATCAATGATTGTTAGAAAGTCATGCCTTAGTCTTGAGATCCTTCCTTTCCTCAGCAATCGTTAAGTGTGAATCATTCCGGGAGGGGTCGCACCCTAAGCAATTATCAGCTAACACCTTCTGGCAGGGGCCACAACCCCAACGGGCCCAAGGGTACACTCAATACATGAATAAACAGGCATGAAGGTAGATAAGCGACGCAGGCGGGGGAAAGATCAGAGGCTCACACCAGCGGCACGGGAGGGGGTCAGAGATACCGAGCTCCAGTCGGCCTTCGCTAATGCCGGACCTCTTGCCCCGGAGTGCATCCTCTAGCAGGATGCCTTTCTAGCTTCCCTGATCGAACACCTGCTCCTTCCAATATAAGCACTTGGGAATAAAGATGGCAAGTCCTCTCTTTCCCCCCAGGATTCTTTTCTAAGTGTCTGAGCCATTCCATTCTAAGGGCCATGGAAGTCACCTCAGTACCCAAATGGAAATGAATGTCCCTCCACACAGAGTGTGGGCAGGAATCCCATTTTTCAGGGATGGAAAGCAGGTTGCCTGAAGTCACACAGTGAGCCAAGGACAGCCGGGGCTAAAGCTGGGTCTCCTGTTACCTAGTCCACAGCACCTTTCACGTCTCTAGGAGGGGCTTTGGGCTTGCAAATACTGGATTGCCACTTCCCTCCTTTTAGAGAAAATTGCTGAAGGCTGGCTCGTCCATGCTCTGGAGGCGCTTCCGATTGAGAACTGGAAGATATGGCAGATTAACTTGTAATTTGCCCCAAATATCTACAGCCCGAGTTAGGGAAATGGAGGGCCCAGGGAGGAGTGACTGGGAAAGCCCAAGGGTGGAGGAGACAGACAAGTCTCCTGAAACGACTGTCACGTACAGAACTCTTCCCAGGCAGAGGAGGAGGAGCATGGGTCAGAGTAAGCACCCCCACCGCACACTTCCCGGAGGTCGAAACCCCCATCTCCTTCCCTGGATGATACAGCTGACAGCCTTAAGTTTGGGACATTTAAGAGAAACTGGGGTCACCAAAAATTTGGTGTTTCCTCTTGGTGCGGGCACTTTGTCAGGAACTCAGATGGCACTGGGAGAATTGAAGAAGTAGGAGACGTGTTTGTCCTTGAAGACCTAATGACCTTACAGGGGAGTTGAGATGTGCAAAGCCCAGGCCAACTCTCTTCTGTGTGTGTCTCCCGCGCCCAACACTGGTGTGTCCCACCCGGCCTCACTGAACTCATTGCGCTTCCTTCTAGGACTCTCGGTCCCAAGCAATGGTGATGCACAAATGCACTGTTGTTGCAGTTGTGAGCTGAAGTGACCCTGCCCTCCCTCAGTGCTCAGCCCCCATCTCACTGCTAAGCGGGGCTGTCACCCACTTCTATGTCTCCTGTGCCTGGAACACCATAGGGGCTCAATAAACGGAGAAACAGTGAATAACTTCTTCTTTGGTACAGGGCAAAGGGCAGGATCAGTCTGGGTGCTACGCCCTGCCTAGTGGCCTACAGCACAGCAGGCCGGGCGGGGGGCGGGGGCAGTTTTCCAGAATTGCAAAGGGAAATAGTAAACAGCCCTGGTCCCCACCCTTGGATGGGAAAACAGGCTTGGGACACAGGTGAGGAGAACAGCCCCCCCCGAAAGCAGACACCTTCTCCCTACTCAGAATCATCATCTCAACGCCCCAAATCCCTGTGTCTTCTGACCTGGACAATTGGGTCCCAGGTCCTTCATCAATTCTCATGCATAAAGTGGCTCTTCAACTCACTGCTTTGCTTTTGGGACACAGGCAGTTAGTCATGCTCTGAGCACTGGGAAGAGCTCCAGGGACGTGAAGCACTTCCTGTCCTCAGGGAGCCCCCCGTCTGATGAGGAGACCAATGTCGCTGCCCCTGTGGTTAATGGAGCAGGATGCAGAGGACCCCAGGGTGCTTAGAGAGAGCGCGGAGGGCTGCGTAAAGGAATGAGCTGGGAGTGGGGTGGGTTCAGCAGTAGAGGACAATTAGTGAATTCGCTCGGCTACATATAACATTTAGCCTGTGTGTCCCTCTTTCCACAAAGAAGGAAATGGGTTAGACGTTTTTTGGAGGGACATCTGATCCTTCGGGAGTGGGGTGGCCAGCCTGTTTTAGAAGGAGGGGAAGTGGCCCTGGAGGACAGGGCAGGCCCTTCACCTGGGCGCCGGGGAACCTTTTAGCAATAGCAGAGACCACTAAGGAGTGGCCAGGTGTCCGCACAGCCAGCAAGATCCCTCTGTTTGCCCTGTAATGAAATAGCCTCTATATTAAGACAGTTTGTCGTGAGCCCTGAATAAACCTCAGGCCTCCCAGTTCTCCCACCTTACCCAGGGCCAGTGAGCCGCCCAGGGGTGGGGGCGGTGTGCGCCCTCTCCAGACACCACAGCAGAATCCCCCAGTAAACGCACTTATTCCATCCATTCCCAAACCCCTCACTCCCGGGGCACCCCCGGTGCCTTCCCCAACTCACCCCACCCGGTGCTGTGGGCCCAAGAGGCGGTTCACCGTCATAGCCAAACTTGAGGGATCCACGAAGATTGAAGATTTTCTTCTTGTGTTTTAAGTTTGGGACATTTAAGAGAAACTGGGGTCACCAAAAATTTGGTGTTTCCTCTCGGTGTGGGCACTTTGTCAGGAACTCAGATGGCACTGGGAGAATTGAAGAAGTAGGAGACGTGTTTGTCCTTGAAGACCTAATGACCTTACAGGGGAGTTGAGATGTGCAAAGCCCACGCCCTGCTCTCCTTGCTCAAACCCACCACGTTCCCTCAAGCTTCTGGTTTCTGCACATGCCATTCTGGGCAATTCTTACTCCAAGGCCAATGTCTCTGTAACACCTTCCCCAGCCGGGAACTACCCATTCACTCCCTCCTCTGAGGTCCCCAAGCCCCTTGCACGTTCCTCTGTGACAACACTTAACATACGATGTTCTGATTCACAGTTTCTCTCAAGTACACGGACCCATCCCATTTATCTTTATCCCAGTGCCAGCGCTAGTGCTTGGCCCCAAGAGGTCCTTGGAGAGTGTTTGACAAAAGACTCAGACGTCCTGCCCTTGGGGAGTCTCTGTCTCTAGAGAGCCATACTTAATGCAGTACCCGAAATAAATAAGAGCAGCTACTGCTTATGGAACGCGTATCCTGTAGTTCTCACACTCACCGTGTCCCGACGCTGAACCCTTCACCTACTGCCCCAAAGCCACTCCTCCCTGTGGTGGGCATCCCCACTAATGGCGCCTCTGTGTACCCTGCCGCTGGGAATTGCCCTCCGCTCTCTGCTCGCCACATGGAATATATATCCCCTAGTTCTTGGTATCTCCAAAATCCATCTCAAATTCCTTCCCCCTCCATTACCACTGTTAATACAAACCATAGTCTGCCGTTGCCCGGGGGGAGGCAGCCCCAAGAGACTTCCTTGCTTCCCATCTTACTGCCAGACCTGACCCATCCATTCTCCAACAGGAGCATGACCTCTTAAAATGAGAAATCAGGTCATGCCATCCCCTGCTGGCCATGGTTCAGCTTCTTGGGATAAACCTGACAGTCTCGTGAAGGCCTCCAAGGCCCTGTGTTCTCAGGTTCTTCCCCCCTCCAGCCAGGCTTTCTCGCAGGCCCTCACACACAGCAAGGGGCTGCTTACACTGGGCTCTATAGCTAGGCACTCCCCAGTGTCTGAGTGCTGCCCCAATCCCCCCCCTCCTCCTTGGACTAATTCCTCATTGTTCAGGCCCCAGGATAAAGGCCCTTTCTCAGACAGGGCTCCTTCTAGCTCTGCTCACACACCTTGTCCTTTTGCCTTCATGGCACTGATCACAATTAGAAATCCTATGTATTAATAGTGGTCTCCTCCAGAATGCAAGGTCCGCATCTTTTTTGTACAAATGAGTATTGGTGTACAAATCAGGCATCGTGCAAGACAAATTTCCCTTCACAATTACTGTCCTCACTCTGCAGATGAGGATAAGCCATGTGCTTGAAGTTACACAGGAAATGGCAAAGCCAGGATTTGAGCCAAGGTGCCTTCACTCCAAACACCCATCCCCTCCCTACCTTACTTGGTCTACGCCATAATCATACAGGCAAGTCCCGGGCAGAATTAAGACTTCACAAGGAATTCCTTTTTAGCTGGGCCATTTCAATTGGTAAGAAAGAAACCCAAAATATATGCCTCCAGTGTACCAGTCTCTCAGGAGGCTCCTTCCAGAGATCATTTTAGGAAATGTTACTGTGTCTTTAGGAAATGTTACTGTATCTTCCCTCTAGGAAAACCCCCAGAGGGAGGAGGTTTTGAGAAGCTCTGATGTCAAGAAACATACTGATACTTTTTAACTGTCTCCCAAGTTTCTGTGACTACAGTCTCCTTTTTACCCCTACTATTGTGTTCAATGCAATACAGGGGGGGGGGGGGGGTGGCTGTTGAAGTGGTGGATTTCCCAGTAAAAACAGGAAAGGGGATAGAGGCTAATCCAGTTGCACTTTGAGACTAGGTGTCGGGAAATGATGAAAGCTACGTAGGCTGAGTCAGTTTATGGACAGACTTGAAAGCCAGGATCTGTGACCTTAATCCAAACCCCATGGATGAGCAGGGAAGTGACAAGCCAGGTCTTAAGAGCAGGATATTCTTCCCTTTTCCTGATCCACTTCTGTAAGGAGGCAGCTAAGATTCCCAGGCCAGGCAGGGACTTCAGGAGCAATTTGACTGACAGCGAGACAAGCTGAATGGCCAAACAGGGCTTGAAGTGGCTCCCATGCTCCGAGGGTGCCATTGTAGGGAATAGGAATAGCGCCCTCTGGAGTTACACAGGGCGGTGGCCCTCGCCAGGCACATCTGGTTCCCAATCACAAGCAATCCGCTGATGGAACCTCTGAGGTCAAACCAAATTCCAGTTTTCATTTCAGAAGTTCTCTTCCTGCATTTACCCACTGCTGTGTATCGAATCATGCCAAAACAATGAATGGCTTACAGCAGTCTTTTGCACAATTCCTGAGGCTGGCAGGACTCAGCTGCATTTCTTTGGCTTCCCGCGGCGTCAGCAGGGGTCACCACTGAGGCTGCACTCAGCCCGGAGAGGGCTGGCATTTGGGTGCTAGAGGCTGCAGCTTCTTGGTCCTCCCCTGCCGTGGTCTCTCTTACACGGCCCTCACCATTCACAGTAGCTCAAGCTTCTGGTCTGGAAACATTTCTCCTGGTTTCCAACAGTCAAAGTGGAAGCTGCCAGAATATTACTTCTGCCACGTTTGATTAGTCAAAACAAGTGAAAAGTCCAGCCCACACTCAAGAAGGAAAAATCTCTTATTGGAGGAACACATACCCAGAAATGGCAGAAATTGCTGGTGGTCAGCTCTGGAGATGATCTGCCACGCCAGGTTTGTGTGTGTGTGAGACAAGAGTGTAGGTTTCTAACGACTTTGGAATAAATACATGGTGAGCTGTTCCCAGAAACGAGCACCCAGTTAAGAAAGAGTAGCTTCTTGGAAAGAACCGTACTTGTCAAGGATAAAGGTGTTTATAGCTCATGGAGAACATCTGGGAGGAGCCACGGAGCTGATGTTGCACAACAGGCAGGTTTTTTTTTTTTTTTTTTCCCCCCCCTGTGCAAAAATAAACAAACCCCCCAGCCCCCAAGTGGTAGCAGCATGACCCGCATGGACAGGGATTGCACAAGACAGAAGAGACGAATGAGCATCTGGGACATTTGTTACCACCGGGCAGTCCTTTGTTTCCTTCTTGGTGACATGCATTGGCATTTTGTTGGAAGACGCCACAAAGGAAGTGGGCAATTATACTGCCCCCAGCATCAGGAAACAGTCTGGAAGACGAGGTCATAAAAGTCTGTAGCAGAAAGTTCTGGGGCAAAAACTCGTGGGTGTAGTACTAGCATTCCAGGATCCCAGTGAAGAACAAAAGGTAGTTTTTAGAATTCCTAGCACACAGCACATATTTAGCAAAGGAGTTTTCACTTTATTCTAGTAACATGCAGAACGCTGGGCCACATTTCGTATATACCTGCACTTGTGAGGCCATGGAGGAAACAGAGCGCCACAGCGAGCCAGGCTTGCTCCCTTGGTGGTCACTCTGCTTCACTCAGTGCGACCTGTTATTTGAGCCTGCACACTCAAGCCAGTTTAGGGCCTTGGGGTGAGTGATGGCAGGGTTCATACCTGCTCAGGGAGAATTTGTTTCAAACCAAGGTTTCTTTCTTTCCTTCTCTTAAAGATTTTATATATTCACTTGAGAGTGGGGGGGGGGAGGGCCACAAGCAGGGAGCCCCGTGCAGGGCCCGATCATGGGACTCTGGGATCATGACCTGAGCCAAAGGCAGCCACTTAATCAACAGTCACCCAGGTGCCCCAAACCAAGGTTTCTTATTTGAGCCCAGTCTAGTAATGGAC